AAGACTTACCAGCTGCCTTCCTGGGGCTTCTCGAGGACGAAGCAATGGCTGGCACCCCATCCTGTGTGAGATCATACAGAACAAAACACAAGAAAGGTAAATTAAAGAAATGCTGGTCTTCAATCCTCTCCTTCAACATACTAAATCCAAAATGAGGTAAGGCCTTAATTAAAGCCTTAAGGTGACCATTAAATCTTATGTTCTTCAATCAGTTCAGAACATGAAAACAGAGGTAGCATCCAGGTAAGCCAAATGTGTCAAAAATCGTGCTCAGATGAGGTAAGGCCTTAATTAAAGCCTTAAGCTGACCATTAAATCTTATGTTCTTCAATCAGTTCAGAACATGAAAACAGAGGTAGCATCCAGGTAAGCCAAAAATCATGCTCAGGCTGCTGTGCACTCATCTTTTAGACATCCAGAAGATACTGTCAGCTCCATAATCTTTATCCATTTCATCACTGTATGGACAATGGATGGGAATTCTCTGAAAGGACAGTTCCAACATATCTCAAGTTCTCATTCTCTGCTTTGAAACTTTAATTATTAAAGCCAGGCACACCTAGTCACCAAAAGAGCCCCCCGAAATCAAGAATCTGCAATCATAGGCAAGTCCTCACTGTCATCAAAATGGAAACAGGAACTTCATGGAGAATAAGATTTTAGACAAGAAAGTGACATAATCAAGTATCTCCGCAGAGCCAGCCAAGGCTGAACTGCACTGTTAATGGGCTTAATGAATTCCAGCTATCTGTTATACCATCAGAAAGACACAGACCTCACCTGATGACAATGAATGCAGTTGCTACTGTTCTGGTTGAACAAACTCTAATTTCATCTTTAAATGAGAACCCCATCATTGAATAACAATAAGAAAGGCATAAAGGCAACTGTTTTATATATAATTGTCTGAAAAGACAGTTAAGATAATGCTGTGGCTCCAGAACACCTTCAATTCCAAAAAGATTACTGGAAATCACTACAGTGACCTTGGAAACTGTCAACTCCAAAGAGAGAGGATTTTTTTGATACAACGAAGGTGATAACATTATGCCTTGTCTGTGCATAAAAAGGACAAAGTTAATCCCCTCATACAAGGGCTTTCTGAACTTCTACTTGCTTCTGAAGTACTAGATGGAGTCTTTGCTTTAGTTTTCCTCCTCAAGGAATCACTCATTTACGTAGTCATTTCTCTTCCCCAGTAAGTTTTGAGAATTCTTCAGTTTCGGAAGAAAACTTACATACTTGAACACACATGCATATGTATTTATTTTCATTTGGTTTTAATACCCATTTCCACATAGTCAAACCCCTACAGTTCACAAATCACTTGTGAATTGAGAGTGGTTCAGATAAGCAGCCTGCTGTTACTTCACCAGGGACCAAATGATCAATCTCCCCTCTCCCAGTAAAAACATACCTTTTCCACCCAAACATTTTGCAGATACTTGCCACTTTGGTGTTCCAAGATTACCAGGTCAAACCCTGTGCATTTCTTTACAGCCAGGGAAGGGATGGAGCAAAGATAAGGCCATTTTGCTAGTAACTCACATTTACATACAACTAGGTGCAAAGGGAAGCCAACTCTTTGTATAAATCAGTGGCACACACTGACTGCTTTGAAATCAATCAGAACTTTTGTCAGTAGGTCAACAGATCCAGGATTCCAAAATACAAAGACCTAGAAGTATTTCTGTGCTTCTCATTTTGCATTTCATTTAAGGAAAAAGTACTTCAAAACAACATTTTAAAGAACGGCTGGCATAAATATTCCAGACTTACAGGCTCATTCAATTCAGACGAGCACGCTCCTGAAGCAACCGAGGGAATTTCAGTGTTCTTTTCCTCTTCATAGGCTGTAGCAAATGTCCTGGATGCTGCAGAGGAGATCTCTTGAGAACCACAAAAGGAAGAATCTGAAGCTACTTCACGACAGCTACTTCCAAAGGCTGTTGGGATTTTTTCTTCTAGAATTAAAAAAAAAAAAAAAGAAATTAAGAAAAAGAAAAGAAAACGGTGATAGCAAAGCTAGAAAATTATTTGGTCTTTTGATCTTGGTGACATTTCAATGGAAGCAGAAAAAGGTTTCTTGTACTTGAACAAGCACCAGCACAGGAAACTCTAAGAAATTATTGTCCATACGTGATTTCTAAACAAAACTCCAAGCTGATTACCTAGAAGTTCCACCTCAGACATTATTTATGCAAAACTTTACCAGCTGAGAAATCTTGACCACTGTATACATCAAATTAATGAAAGTACAAAGCAAATGATAATTCACTGCTCTTAAACAACACTTAAGTTCAACAAACATTGAGATCAACTCTCAAAACATAGTAAGAGCTTAGTACATTGTCTGTCTTGAAAATGCTAAAATCTACATGCGTCATCACTCCAAAACAATTTTAAACATCTAAAACAATTTCTGATTTATAAAGACTAGCTTTAACTACCAAGTAATTATCTTTCAGAGACATTTGAGATAGTGGCTTTTTCAGCTGTGTCCTAAAGGAGAATTTCTATGTTAGAGATTTATTTTGACCAAACAGGCTGTAACTACAACGCTGTCACTATCCAGACCAAACCAATGAGATTTCAAACAACAGGGACAGCTTTTCTTGTGGTTACTTATTCCAAGCCTGACATTTCTGCATCGGTCCTACGTGAATGGAGTTTCCATCATTCGCATTCAAAGATTTTTACATTAGCAAGTCTTGGCAGAAAGGTCTGACTCCTGGCAGAGAAAGGTTAAATAATTCACTGGTAAAGGTCTGACTCCTGGCAGAGAAAGGTTAAGTAATTCACTGGTCCTCCCTCCCTTCCTTCCCCTCCGTTACCTGAGCGGAGCGGGGTGCTGACGCTCGGTGGTGCATGACTCACTCTGGGTGTTTTAGAGTCTATATCCCCGTAGTAGTTCTCTTGTTCACAGGGGATACTCGACAAATCCTGAATATCTGTCACCGATCTGAAGTGTGGAAAGATGTTCTGACAGTTAGAATAGCCACTTCCTGCACTTGTGAATCACTAAATTCTGCTATTTTCAGGTTCTTCTTTAAATTTTACTTTTGTTCGGTATTATCTACTTTTCCAGAAGGCAGAGAGACTTTCCCTTTGAAAACTTCCCACAGAATTCTTGGGAGGCTAAAGATCACTATCTTCAATGATCTTGCAGAGACAGAAAAGGTTAATTATTTGCTTTCCCTTCCTTCACAGGATTTCTTCGTTTTAATAGTACTCCTATAAAAGCAAGCTCAGGAAATTGCCTCCAGAAAGGGCAAGAACTTCAAATGTGAACCACCAGGTAGAAAATTCTCTCCAAAGCCAAGGGAAGACCTGGAGGTTTAACAAAAACTAACAATCTATTAATTAAGACCAAACGCAAGGCTTAGGAGCCTTTAAAAGAATTACTCAGATAAACTGAAGCTGCTCAAGATCTGCATGGGCAGCAATGTCCACTCAAGTTACAAAGATTCTTAAGTGGCAGAAGGACTGGGATTGTATTAAGCAAACTAACATCTTCTGCAGATACACCCTGGATGACACTGTCCTCAGAAGACCATGAAATGAACAGATGTCTACTGCTACCAAATCAGTAATTTCTATGCAAATCTCCATTATCTGTAAAAGGAAACTAACTTCACTAGTTAAGTCACAAATCTATTCTGCAAATTTTCCCCGAGAACCTTGATCACATCGTAATAAAATTTATTTAGCTACATAATAATTATTTGCTCTTCAAAGTAATTTTATTTCTTCTGTGTAACATGGACAGAAGAAACAAGGAATTTTAACACATTTAATGTGAAGAAGTACACCCAAATTACACTAAGTTAATTACTTATGAGTATGAAAATATTTCAAACTAAGGAAAACTGTATGTGATAGTATCCCAACTTATAATGAGAAAATTTTCTTTCAATACTTCAAATAGTTTCTTCTCAGCTTGAGAGCTGAGACAGCTCTGCCCTGTCACATCTTCCCATTTTGCATCAACACAAAACTTTTATGATGATAACAACCAACTTGCTGAAGTTTTGGCATAAAACAGTCTGTGGCTCTTACACATCTTTTTCTTTGGATTCTTCTTGTTGCTCCCACAGTATTGCTTCTTGTGCTCCTCCAACACTAGAATGAGGGAAGAAAGGTCATATTCTTTGAACCTATCAGAAAATTACAAAAATAAATGTATTTCGTGTCCTCTCTCTCCAAGTTTAAAGGACCACCTTCTCTTTGAGATAGACTGCAGCTCATGAAAAATTTTTGCTTAAAACCTTAGAAGATGGAGAGAGCAAGCACTCTAGGAGAAAAATGCCATTTTAACCTCATTATGGATTTGCATTTGGTAAGGAGAAAGATTCTAATTGACATATGCAGTTTCAACTGCAAAACTGAAAGTTAAACAAAAATCTACGAATATACATCCATACATTGTTTTACCATCCTTTGGTCTGCATTGAAAGCTACTCTCTCAAACTACAACAAGCCCACTGAAGGTCAAAGAGGGTAGATTAGGCAGATGGTCAGAGGGCAACAGCCCTCTCTGTCCTGCTGGCAAAAGCTCAGTTCCTAAGAGAAGGGAGCAGCCAAAACCATGACTTTTTACCTTAAGGCCAAGTATTTACACGCTTGCTGGCTACCTTTGGCACTGGTAACTCAGTTCCTCCAGTGGATGGGAGAGAGTACAGCACAGACAGTACAAGCAGCTCTCCCTCCAGCAGCTGCTAACTTGAGGAACACAAGGAAAGCTGAGCTACAGGGAAGGAAGGGGCTTTCAGGAAGCCTGAAGGCCACATCTGAAAGACCCCTGGCAGCATGAGGTGGTGATTCTGGCCAACATCTCTGCATACTAACAGAACATAAAATTTACAAAAAATAATGGATGTAAACACCTCATGTTTGACAGATGAGTCTGCAAGTCTCCAAGCATGGCTAATGTTATCTGCAGGCAAGATACAGCGAGCGTACTTGCATCGGATTGTTCCCACAGGAGGGGAAAAAGCATGATCTTCATTCCACTTGAACTCCAAAACCAGAGCACAACAAAATTAAAACAGATGACTGAAGCCTTAATTTGAATTATCTTTGCTCTGTTTAAGACTGTAGTTTATCAGTGTAAAAGGAATTGTAATATATACGTGACTTATTTTGCCTATTTTAGCTCCCTCGTTAAGCAAAAAAAAAACCCAAATCGAACACTGTAAAAGACAAAACCCCACCTATTTTAGCTCCCTCGTTAAGCAAAAAAACCACCAAATCGAACACTAAAAGACAAAACCCCGTGAGACTTGTGAAAGTCCTTTTATTATTTTCGTGGTAAGGAACTATGACATGTAGATAAGCATTAAAAAACACCACTGGCATCTTATTTGAATATTAGATATATAAGCAGAATTAATAAAGAGAGCACACTTTATAGCCTAATTGATGCTTCAACTAACGATAAAAATAAGTGTATCTACCTGGCTGCAGGGATATGGCTGAGCTGATCCACTCCTAGCGTGTTACTGCCAGAGTTCTGTGCCGCTGTGCTGCAGAATAATATTTTTCCTCCTGAATACAAATAACAAATGTTCCCTGTTATTGGGTTTTGCAAGTACAAAAGAAAGCGACACAACTCATTGAACAGGAAATTGCAACTTTATTAAATTTTTTTAGTTCTTGTGACCTTTGTTGTTGTCAAGAGACAAATGTGTTTTAAAGATGCATTTTCATAAACATACCCCAGCTGCCAGACAGTCAACCACTGAAGCACTGGGGAATATCACAACATTTACAGATTTGAGCTGAGAGGCAACAGACTAGAGAAACAACGATGATCCTGCCATTATTCTGCACACACACAACTGCAGCTCCTACCGTTTTTAAGCTCAAGATCCTTCTAGCAATGAGAATATTAATGTATAAATACAACTCTAATTCAGTTTCCAGCCCCATAGCAAGTTGCATAAAAAGATTAAGCTTAGCCCTAGGGTAAGAAAAAACCCAAAAGCAAAAAGGTTGAAAACGAGTTTTGTTCTTTTAACATAGCAAGTATATAATCATCACACTCAACTATATTTCAGTGACTACAACGCCCAAACCTCATCTTCCAAAAGCATCCTGAACTCTCGCTAAAATAGTGAGGAATAAGAAACCAAGTGACCTGAAGAAACTAGCTCCAGCTTTCTGACAGGAGTGCTGCTCCTGTCAGCATCTCCCTGACTCAAAATTACCTTCCAAAGAAAGAGCGCATTTACCTGAAGCCTGAATACCTGATTCTGCCTCGTCAGGTAACTGTTTCTGTAAAAATCCTTCATCTTCTAATTTGCTCTCAGCATCTGAGGTCTGAAGGACGTCGGGGAAAGGAAGGGAATTCAATCTCTCGCAGGCAAGCTGTGAAGGGCAGGACAACTCTCACAGGATGATGTTCACAATAATCAGAACGAAGAGACAAACTTTTCAAGAGCTTATCAGCAAACAGCATGGACTGGATTTAATAGTCCACACAATAGTTTTGAATCTTCAAGAAATGAATGAAGATTGTTTTAAGGCTAATGAGTAGGCTGAGATTATCAACTGCCTAAAACTTTTCTTAGCCACAGACTATGTAATTTCCTAGTAAACAAATTAAGAAAACAAGTCCCTGGTGTTTTGGGAGTTCTGAGTGTCTGTGGGATTTTAGTTGTTTGGGGTTTATTTTGTTTTGATTCGGTTTTTTTTCAGGCCAGTGTGTGTTTTAAACAAACAGCGTTAGAATTCTTTTACTTTTCAATAAATCTTTATTTGTATTGAATAAAAGCTGCTGTTCTCCCATTTTCTACAGCTCTTCTTCAAAACAAATGGGAGCATAATAAAACCACATGTCATGTAACTTACGTCCAAAGTTCTTGACACAGACTTTGCTCCTGTCTTTTCTGCTATTTTTACCTCTTGTTCGGAACTTCCCTGAGTAGTAGGAGGAAGGAAACAACCAGAATTAGGAGTCGAGAATTCTTCAGATACATCAGGAGATGAATTAGGGGAACAATGTAATTCCCTAGAATGCCCCTGTGAAAGACATCATCATTTGAGATACTTTCTCCACTCTCTATCAAAGAATACATATTTTAGTCAATAACGCTATACAATACTGCATCAAATTGAAATTATACTCAATTTGATCACTCTGAGTTTCAACCTACCTCCTGCTCCTTACATTACCTTTATGATTTATAGGAAAAAAAAGAGGGGGGGGGAAAGGGAGATGGAGTGATTGTTAGTCAGATCACAGCTGAAAAGATCAGATGTCTTGGTAGCTCAGTGTGCAACATGGAGAGAGCAGGCTGAACTGTTTAACAGATAACCAGCTGCAACTAGATTTCTTGGATTACTATACATGCCCAAACCATGACAATACTCTAGAGAGATTCTCAACTTGTTGAAAGACTGAATTTTCACAAATCTCTATTCCAGACTCTGCTTGTTCATCTTGTGATGGTGACGGGCAACTTCTCCCTAGGACGTAAGAATGGAACAAAATTACTAGGCAAAAAATAACATGAAGCGAGTGATCTAAAACACTGATGGAATATCAATGAGAGTAGACAGTAAAAACTACATTGTCTGCCAGCAGTATGGAGAAATAATGACATTTAAGTGCTCACATCATCAATCTAGGCATGTGAAGCTTTCCTTTATCTGTAACTGTTACAAAAGCACTACCCAACTATGGTGCTACAGAAAAAGCATCTCTGTAGTCCAATTGAGAAATAAAGTGTGACAGTGACAGCAAACTGGTGGATTGGAAAGCTTTGGGTCTCCCATGCTGATACATGGCAATCAATGATGGCGAAGGGTCTCCAAGCTCACTGGACATGACCTTCACCTGTTAACATGTAACACTCATCTTAGTCCTTATTTATGTTCACCAATGATCAAGTGATTGACCTGCTCTGGGAGCCAAACTCTGGAAGATAAAATTGACAACTATTGTAACAAAATCACTGAAACTACAATCTGCTGGGAGATGGTGAGACAAAAAGGAAATACATTAATTTTTAGTTTTCAACCTTACCTCCAGAACTTCTGAATGCAGACTCAGGATCACTCTCCTCAGATTCAGATCCATCCTCACTGCCCAGACCCCAAGACTCAACATTGTCACCTGTTGGCCACCCACATCTTTGTTGGTCTTGACCTTTTTGGACTCTCAGAGTGACATGTTGAAAGGCTTCCCTTATACTCTCTGCTTCACTTTCAGATGTACATTCACTGGCTGCACAGGCAGAGTTGAGTTCTAGATGTCCAGAGGCCACTCTTCTGGCCATTCGCTTCACTTCAGCTACACGAGAAGAACAAAATCACCAGTTCACACAACAGAATGTGGTCATTCAAAGCACTCCCTGGTTTTGCATTGTGTCTGCAGACTTGGAAATGCTAAAGTTACAGCCTGTAAACTCCTTTATCATGAAGAGTTAAACGCTCTCTTCCATTTGAAGGAAAGCTTAAAACCAGCACAAACACTTGTTAGTTGGCATTCTCTATTATTCGTGCCTGTACTGCCATCCACTGGTCACTGCTGTACTACCCTCTCTAAATTCATACCCTGTCCTTCCCTTATATCCTGCAAAACAGGGCTAGAAATTCCTTGGGCTTTATAATCAAACCATCTTAATGCGGTTGTGATTATTTTATGCCCTGAATGTGCAAGACAGAGGATCCTACTCATTTGGTTTTCATCCAAGAACAGCCTAACAGAGCTTCAGCAATTAAGGCACACAGACCTTCCGTAAGTAACAAAATGTGTTAAGTTTTAATGCACTGCACTAAGATGTGCTAATATTAATGCCGAGTTAACACCAATTTACTTACCCCTCCATCCTGATTGCATCATCCTTCTCTCCTCACTCGTTTTTGTACTGTAAATTTCAGAGCCTGATTTCAGATAGCACCTATAATAAATCATTATGAAATACATCAAACTGCTAATGCACAAGCATACTGCCTTAAGTATTCTCCAGTCAGTAAAAGACTCTGATTTCAGATAGCACCTATAATAAATCATTATGAAATACATCAAACTGCTAATGCACAAGCATACTGCCTTAAGTATTCTCCAGTCAAAGACCAGAACTTGTTTTAATGTTAATTAAAAGGCCGAGAGCACACATGCTCTCAGAACCCAACAGAACTAGCAGATTGAGCCATCAGAAGCTTAGAAAGCACAGACAGTTATTTAGTTCTATTATAGATTAACCAGACAAGCTGTACGTTAAAATTTAGATTTCAAAAGCTGTCAACTGCCTTCAGATGATATCTCTCTATAAACGCTAACAGATGATGAATGCTATGGAAATTTGTTTCAGTCAGGTCAGTTTAAGATACTCAGAACTTCAGACTTGGGTAACAACAATCCTACCACCAACCCAATTCCAATCCAGAGTTCAGTCCCTTGACCATCTAATGACGTGACAGCATCTGGCATATTTATGTTATGCCAGATGTGTCCTTTACCAGGGCAGAACTTGTTTTAATGTTAATTAAAAGGCCGAGAGCACACATGCTCTCAGAACCCAACAGAACTAGCAGATTGAGCCATCAGAAGCTTAGAAAGCACAGACAGTTATTTAGTTCTATTATAGATTAACCAGACAAGCTGTACGTTAAAATTTAGATTTCAAAAGCTGTCAACTGCCTTCAGATGATATCTCTCTATAAACGCTAACAGATGATGAATGCTATGGAAATTTGTTTCAGTCAGGTCAGTTTAAGATACTCAGAACTTCAGACTTGGGTAACAACAATCCTACCACCAACCCGATTCCAATCCAGAGTTCATTCCCTTGACCATCTAACGACGTGTCAGCATCTGGCATATTTATGTTATGCCAGGTGTGTCCTTTACCAGTGGGTCTTACTGATCCAACTGGGTCATGAATCAACTTAAAAACTGGAAAGGTTTTCCTGACTTGATTTGACCCAAACATTGTAGGATTTAACCCAAACATTGTCCCTATCTTTCCAACTAATAATACACATCCATTTGCTCAAGTTTTGACAGGTACTTTTAACATGCACTTTTCACCAATGCTTAGAAATATAAAGGGACAACATTAAAAAGCACATCAAACCTAACGAAGTAACATATGCTCTGTTGTCACTGGGTTTAGCAAGACTGTTCTGCTCCCACAGCCCTAGCACAGGCCCTAGTCCTACACTTATGAGGTACTTTTAACATGCACTTTTCACCAATGCTTAGAAATATAAAGGGACAACATTAAAAAGCACATCAAACCTAACGAAGTAACATATGCTCTGTTGTCACTGGGTTTAGCAAGACTGTTCTGCTCCCACAGCCCTAGCACAGGCCCTAGTCCTACACTTATGAAAGCCAAAGTATTTATACTGAGAATTGCATGAGGCTGCACACAGAGAGGAGAACCACCCTTACCAGTAACTGATTAGATTGCTCTCCCTACGCACCATTACAGTTTTGGACCACTGACCACCACAGCGGCATCTGGAATCTGAACATCCCTCTTTAAAAGTAACTGCCCTGTCACAGCAGTTCCCCTGTCAGCTCTGCAGCTGGCAATGCCTCACAGTAGGGTTCTAATTGGACAGATGGCTTTTGGCTTAATGAAAAAACATTTAATGCCATCCTTGATCCCGGAGGTGTCTACCTTCACAGTGGCTGTATCAAGATGAACCCTGCTAGAATTAACTCTTCGTGAATACAATCCAAACTCACCACCTCTCTTCTTCACTTCCACTTGCTGCAGAGTGTGAATCACCTCCTCTCTGACACTGCAAGTTGAAATCTTTTTTGTATCTTACAGATACATGTGGGAGTAAACGCTGAAATGAGTCCAACAAGCCATGATTCAGCATACGTTTGGCATTCTGGTAATTACTAGTTGAGCTGTCTGAGATATACCAAGAACCAGACAGTACAAATTTTATTCCCTAGGTTGTATTTTAGTAGCACTGCTCATGAGAAAGGATGACAACTCCAGGCCTCAGCCTTCTAAAAACTCTGCCCTGGATTTATAGCAGGTATCATATGTACGCAGCAGACTACCATAACACAGAGTTCCCAGGGGAATGAGTGGACCTAAATGACTCAAGATTATTTGTACAGCAGATACATACATTAATTTCTCTCTTTCTCTTTGGGCTAAGCATGTCAACTACTTATATTTAATACTGAAAATGATCTAGAAGCCTTTACCAATGACAGGTGGAAACACACCCCCAAAAGATTTGCAGTGACCTTAAAAGGTCAAGAAACAAATTACTTCATGTTACCCCATTTTAATACTAAGAAAATCCAGTACTTCATATTGATGATTTCAAGAGTATCTCTTTTAACGTACAGATATTTACATCTACCAAGTTTCTATTTGGAACCCCTACAACAGAAATTTTAAAAAAATCATCATTCCTAACACAGGTTAGTTTTAAATCCCCCATTTCACTGCCAAAATAGTCAAAGTCAATACATAACCTACATTACATTATCTGTAATAACAATAACAATACGTTGTCTTTAAGTTAGCTTAGGGATCAAAAAGATGAATGGTTCACAGGCTTGTTTTGCACATTGCAAAGAGTAACTGAATGTTTTCCTATCTTCATATGAAGAAGAAAGATAAACAGCAGAATAACACCATACACAAAATTGTATTTCTATTTTAAAGTCTCCGGTTGTCTTTGCTATTGTCATTAACATTTGGTGGTTTGGTTGTTTTTTTTTGTCTGGAGGTTTCCCTTTCCCAGTTACCTTGGTATGAGCCATCACAGCAAGGTTTTATCCAGTCACAGAGGGGGATTAAACACATATTAAGGAGCTGACGGTCTGCACTGAAACCATTCATTGGGTTACCCCAGTGCAAAAGCCTAGATGTACCTGTCAAGGCCTCCTGCACTACTGTACAGAAGCTATAAACATCCGATTTGACTGTGACAACTTTTTCAAGAATTACTTCAGGAGAGCACCACTTATAGAATTGGACTGGGACAGGAATACGTGTCAGATCACTATGTTCTCCACCATCTTTGCTGTATAAAGAGAAAAAAAGTTATAAATCGGGACATACAGCACTGTCAACTAGAATCTATACTTTTTGGAATGAAACACTCTTATATCTGCTTTTGGTTTAAATACCTAAAAGGTCCAGAGTATACCTGCAAATAAAAATCTGTAATGTTTTCATACTGATAAATGTATTTTGGCACATTACAGCAAAGACTTTTCGGCAAAAGTAGCACCTCCTTTAACAAATTCACACTCAAAAAGAAATCAGAGAAAGTTGAAAATTTTGCAGTATGAATTTTACAAACAACACTTTAGCTCTGGCCATGGACAAATACAAGAAGGTGGCACCTGGCCTGTCAGTACTTATTTTGCAATGTATACTTATGTCTAGAAGATAACTTCCTCCTTATATTTAATTATAGGGGGGGTTGTTACTCATTTCACAGCAAGCTGTACCTGAAATAGCCAGGAAATCCCCAAGATTTATTAATAAATTGAGTTTAAAAGAAGGTTAGGACCTTTGCTCCTTTCAGGACATTACTACTGGCAAATTTCTGTTTATTACCAATTTTACTCTCTTTCTTTACACTCTAACCAGCCATTTACTTACTTTCTAATCAGACTGCACTACGGGAAACAAGTAAAAAATGTATATAAATTGTAATTTACCCAAATGAATTTAATGGTGTCTCTCATAAAAGAAATACTCTTTTTGTCACTGGTGACACTTAATTACTACCAGTTCAATGAGGTGTGGAATCATCAACTACTTTAGGTAAGTCTCCATATGCACAAGTTCAGTATAACAGCCCTACAGCAGAATTAGTGACTCAAAGAGTAATCTCTCTTCTGTAAGATTAGGTTCTATTTCTCTATGATGGTATTTTTATACTCCAGTAAAGAGCTGCTTCTCTTATTAGTTTCTATTTTGAGGTATTTATAATATAGAAACTGAATCCACCTGAAATTTGCCATACTACCTGTGGCAAAGTTTATGTAAGTAATAATTTGGAGTTCTTCACTCCTGTAACTCTGTTGCCCAAATCAGAGGCAGGAGTCCTTAGATATCAAGAGGGGCACTTCAGAAGAATTTAGCACTAAATTTGATTTTTATTTGTGTTTGTCCCTTTCACAGAAACAGCAAGGAAATTCTTTACCTCTCTATCATGTATTCCAAGTTGCACAGCTTTGCCTCACCAGAAGAAACAATCTGAATAGCATAGGAGGTAACTGAACGGTGGATAAATCCTCGGGAGTGTAGAAAACGCAAAGCATCATTAATTTGAAGCAGCACGTGCAAAATGGTCTCCATGTGCAGTACTGGGAATTCTGAACGCTGAAAAAACAACCACCCCAAAGCACCAAATTTATATTGCAGGTCTTTAAAGCTTCATGTAGGGAAAAACTATTATTGTACAGAAGAAGGCAAAGAAAGCAAACGTGAAACATACTGCAGTATAAGTCAGACAAATTGCACTTGCAAAATAATGGTAATTCTCAATACCAAACCAACTAATAACACCTTAAAAGACAACTAAAAAAAAAAAATAATTATACACTATGCCAAAATTCAATCTGAAGCAGAATGAACTTTTAGCGTTTCTTGCCTCTGACTGCAAGTTCTCCATAACTTAGATGTCTGCATTCAAACAGTTAAAGGAATAAAGGAACAACTCTATTAACTGAAAAAAACGGAATGACAAAAATGAAACACAGGTCAGTTGATGATTTAAAAAAAAAAAAGAACCACAACCAAGTTCAAGCTGTCACTTTTATATCAGGCAGTTTGCAATGTATTACAAGCAAATACTCAAATGCAAAAGCTGGTCTCAGCACATCTGCAGTGTACAACTACATGCACTTTAAGAGTTCAATTGCATTTAACAGCAGCCATTTTAAGACTGACACCAAACAAGAAAATCAATGCAATTGCACCTAAACATTAACTGAAGTATTTGCCAATTACAAACTCTACCAGCTTACACTGAGTATCTGACACTGTGCAATGCAATGAAACCCAGATACACAGACTGATGATTTTGTCTTCTTATTCTTTGACTAAAGATGGTAGATGTAGTTATTAAATTTCTTCCTCTCAATTAATTATAAAAATCAAGTATTCCAATTACCCTTTCATGAAGAATGCTGTACAGAGAACCAAAGTTAACCCTTTCATATACTAAACGGGTTTTCTCCAAGTCACTAGACAGACAAACAGACATCAACTGTAGCAAATGAGGATGACGGAGCTGACTGCAATGAGAGAGGAAAAAAAAAATTGTAAGGCAAATCTGAGATTGAGAGACAAAGAGTCCTGGCCTTCTAGGTGATTTTATCAATACAACATGAATGCTTCTAACTTCTCATTAAAATACCTCAAATTCTAAAAGAACTATAGATTAGGAGGCATTTAGGAAACAGTGTTTACTGTCATGACTAGGAGAATCCATAAATAAGCCATCCAAGAAACACATAATGAAGCATTCGTTCAGACACACGAGAAGTGAGTACCACCTTCTCCTGTATTATCCACTGAGAAGCAAACGGAGTGGGAACAGACAGAAGACAGACCTGTATTTCTCATTTGGAGAGAGAGAAAGTGTAACCACAGCCTGACAGTCCTCCTGAGGTTAATGACATTTCCTCACCTCACTGTGACAACCCCAGGAGCACTTGTGGCTGCTGCACATTCTTTCTTACCTACTACGTTCCTGCTCTGCAACAAGAAGATCAGCCAAGCGTAGTTTAATACAGTTCTGGTGGGGCTCAAAGCTGAGTTCCTTCACTGTAACTCTGCTGCCTTCCCACATTAAGCTACAAGGAGAAGAGGAGGAACTTCTATGAGATGTCTTCTACAGTATTTTTCCATTACGGAATTAGTTACAAATAATTCTGTAATTCTGAAATGCTCTGGTGCTGTCTCCTGCTGTTAGTAACATTACTTTGAGGATCCTGGCTACAGCATATACCATTTCAAATTCTCATCCTGTCAAAGACTGGATGTACCAAGACAGATTTGCTGTCCATAGATGATATCCTTCCCTGATCCAAGGTAAAGAACAAGGAGCCTCTAAAGGTCATTTCTCTAAAGGACATCACCCCACTGTGATACAAGTCAGAGCTTTGGGATCACCCATTTGTCCATTCTCAGATGCCTCTGAGGCACAATTACTTGCTACACAATACAAAAGATAAAAAAAAGGCTCAGTCTGCACTTGGAACTCTCATTGTACCACAGGCTTGAGCAAGTGGGCTGCAGATGTGCATATCCAGAGGCCGGAGCTCTCACCCAACAATTCCAAGGATTAAACACTGAATGCCACAATCTGTGCATGCCCAACCCAATCATAATTGGGTTAATAATGCTGGAAAGGACCAGAGCAACCTACAGATATCAAGAGTGTCTAATCAGTGGACCTCAGGAAACAAGGTGCAAGCAGAAAGCACTGGATGAATATAGAATATACAAGGAAAACTATCAAACAAGGCAACTGGTACAACAAGTTGCTGCTCAATAGTGACAGGTACACACCAAGAGTGGCTAAAACCCCTTTGATTCCACTTACTTTGTCATCATCATGTATGGTCCAACATGGTAAGAAAATGCTGGTTCATCATCTGCCTGAACCAAGTCTTTTTCCCCAATAATAGGGAGAGATGCCAAGTACCCCAGATGACCGCTGCCTGCAAGATAAAACTGAAACAAGACCAGGGCTTAAAGAAATGGAATATGCAACAGTTCCCAAGATCCCTCACATCTCCCACAAGCTCACTAAAAACCTGAGGGCAATCACTGCAATGGGAGCACCAGCCAAAGCAT